GACGATCGGCAATGATTTGATCGACAAAGTCAGAAACTTCTCGACAACCTTTATGTAAAGTCTTTGCTAAATATCTTTGCGTCAAAATGGTAGTTGTGCAATGATAGGTATCTGTTGGATCATGCACATTGTTCGATATTCTATTGCCTCGAGTACTTCAATGAATGCTCGGCACACGATTTGTTTAGCATTGGCCATGGTTTCGAAGCCTTTACCAAACGCACTCGATGCAATAATCGCCAATGTTAGAGTATTGAGTTCTGTCTGTAAATCTATGACTTTTTGTTGAGTTGATGATAAAAGTAGTTCATTGATAGCCTTGGCAGTCTCTTCGACCATAACAGAAAGCATTGATTGAAGTTTGACAAAGTGAAAAGCTGAATTAAGCATTTTTCGAGCGCGTTCATGTTCTGATCCTTCGCTCACTAACAGATTATGTACACCGATCAAGGATTTAAAAACTTTATCGATATTGGTCGGCTTCCGATAGTCTTGAGCATGCGATCGACCAAAAATATCGGAAATCATATCTGGCTCCATCACGGACAAACGTATATATGGGCCAAATCTTGTGAGATAGAGGTAACCGTGTTTTTGAACGAGTTCCAATCGATAGGCAATTCCAGCATCCTTTTCAGATGCGCGACGCATTTCAGACAGTTGACCGACGAGTGATACGAACGGTTCGCCCGGTACGCCTTGGCTACGAAATGTATCATAGAAACGTTTTTGTGAACGAATCAACTTCCAGTGAACGATGAAGAAAATGAAGGAAAGGGGTACTACAAATGTGTATAGGAGTAGGAGAAGAACCATGTTACTGTATCTAAAATACTAAAGAAGTGCAATCGCATGATGCCATGCGACGATGATGAAGCAAAAACGGAGTTTTTCTTTCTCTTCGATGATGGGACACTAATTACACTAAATACGTTTCTCGGCAGCAAAGAAAGAGAGAAAAAAAGCTGTGTCATTTATCATCATCACTGCTAAAATACACTGATGACGCAGAGAGCGAAATTTTGTTTGTCGTGGGCTCCTTGAGAACGATGAAACAAATGCAGCTATTCCCCTAACATTATAAATGTGATAACATTACGTGTGACAAAGTATGGTCTTGGCAAGGTCAACAGAAGGACTACTGCTAGGATTATAAAACACTGAGTGAACAACAGGACAGAAATACAAAGTGCACAAGTTATTCAGATAAATGTTCGCAAATGTGGAATGATTGCTACTAGCCTCAACATCTATAAATCTGACGATAAAAAACAAGTAAAAGTAACTATCTTTCTAATACTTGGCGCATAATCTTAAGAACACTTGAGTTACAACATTTTTGTATTTATTTTGATTCTTTGATGGTCAAATACAAGTCTAAATGTCTTCTATTGGTAACTATAAGTAACCATGACGTCAACAAAAAAGAAGGAGTGATTGAATCCGATATTGAAAAAACATTTATCGGAAACAAAGGTGCCGCTAATTCAGAATTCAAGTGGAAAAGCTGGAAGACTCGAGGACGTCTCATTCTGCTCAGAATTTGACGCTCTGTCGATACCGTGTGCTTGGGACGAAAAAGATTTCCAAAAGGCTCTTGAAGGTTTCTCAGAATTCTTTTTTTTGCAAAACCTGATTGCTGATCTCTTTCTTTTTCAAATAAATAGCTTATATTAATCAAGCCTGAAAGTGCTTTGCACTTATTTATATGCTGCTGTCCAGATCTGTTTTACAGATATCCGTCTCAAACACTGCGGAAGACCCTTGATTTATGATCTAAGAATAGGTGTATACAGTGAGATATGGGACTTAATGATCAGACTATAACGCGACTGGCTATAGGTACTAGTTCCATATATGCTCTTGTCCAACTTATGTCATCCATCTATTGTGACATCTGAATTGTATTTGTTCATAGGTCGCGAGGGCGATCATGAGTTCGAACTTTCCTAGAACCAGATAAATACTATTAGCTATCATTTATGAGTAATCTTATATCATATCGTTAGGTGCTTTAAGGTGGAAATGAAAGCACCACGCAAAACATTTGAGCATCTGTTAGTACTGAT